AGCAATGAGTCCGAAAGCAATCCTACTTTTGCCACTGTGGTCCTTCCTTACATTCAAAACAACACTGACCACATATCAAAAGTTCTGAAGAAGTATAACGTCAAAACCAGATTTACCAGTAGTCCAAAAATCTCTCAGCATTTTCGGTCCGTCAAAGACAAAATTCAATTTGAGATGACAGGAGTAAAGTCCTGGCGTCTCAAATGGAATTTTGTCTTTGACGGACCGCAAATGTTGAGAGATTTTTGGACAAGTGGTAAATCTGGTTTTGACGTTATACTTCTTTAGAACTTTTGATATATGGCCAGTGATGTTTTGAATGTAAGGAAGGACCACAATGGCAAGTGTAGGATTGCTTTCGGCCTCATTGCTATTGGAAGGTTGTGGTGAAGTGTATTTTTTGATGGAACGTTTAATATCTTTAATGTGGAAATTATTAGAGTGAAGAGTAGAGGTAAGGTGTTTTAATTCTGTTTTCAGTGACTCGGGCTGAGATAGTTTTACGGCTCTGTAAACAAGAGAGTTGATAACCGATGATTTTTGGGCCGGATGGTGATGTGACCATGCATTAATGTATCGGTCTGTGTGCGTAGGTTGTCTGTAAACACAATGACCCAATGTCAGGTCTGATTTTCTATTGATAAGAATATCTATGGTAAAACGTGTGTTAGGGTGTATCGAGTTTAAATGTCTAAGAAAATCTACTAGGGTTTCTTGACCATGAGGCCAAATAACAAATGCATCATCGACGTAGCTTTTCCATAATTTTGGTTTTAGATGAAAGGTGTCGAGAGCTTTCTTCTCAAAGGCTTCCATATATATATTCGCGATGACTGGTGATAGTGGAGAACCCATAGCTGTTCAGATTCTCGGATTTTAATATATCTGAAATGATGTCGAGAATTTCAGGAATAGGTACTTTGGTAAAGAGTGATTCTACGTCGAAACTGACTAGAATATCTTGTTTATTTAATGTAATGCTTTTTAATTGTTCAATGAAGTGAAAGGAATTAAGTACGAAACTGTCAGTTTTCTCTGTAAGGGGTTTTAATAAGGAAGCTAGATATTTTGCTAGAGAATATTTTGGAGAACCAATGTTGCTGACAATAGGGCGAAGGGGTAATCCTAGTTTGTGAATCTTTGGAAGTCCGTAGGGACGAGGAATTTTAGAGTCGTGAGGGGTAACAGATTTTTTCAAGGAGTCTGATAGAGAAGAAACCTTAATAACAGATTTAAGGTTGCGATCCATAGATGGCGCAGGATCTTTTTTAAGTTGACGATATGATCCGTCTCTAAGAATATCTTGAATCTTTTCCTGATATTCATTTGTGTTCGCCACCTTTATCTGCTTTTATGATAATGATGTCGGAATTAGATTTTATAGATTTTAGGGAAATGATTTTTAAAGAAGTTTTGCCGTTTCAAATCGAATTCCATTAGCTGTTTGAGATGGCAGTTTGTTTAGGATAGACTCGACATTTGAAATGTTTCCTCTTTTGCAACACTTGGTAATGTCAGCGCAAGATGTTAATTCTCGGAAGGCACTTCGCTTCGATCTATATTGCATTCATTTGACTTCAGCAACACTTTCTTCATTTTATCGACCATTCCAACTTCTACATGGGTATTAGTTTTCATCTTTATATTTTTATATTCAAGCTCTTTCGATTATCACTAAGTAGGGATGTATAATAGTTTGCCATTCTTGTAGGCTTATTAAGTTTATGCCTGTCCACCTCCTCGCATTTCTTCTCCCAGGCTTAGCTTCTTCTTTCTATGATTGCTCTTTTCCCTATTCTATTAGACTACACATACATTCTTCTCTCTTCTGCTTTGTTGGTGTGTAGCCGTACCCCATAGGCTTTCGTTTTATTTTTAACCAGCGAATCCAATTCGCCTGACCACCATTCACCACCGTTAGTATTCTTATTGCCAGAGTGTGTATGCTTGACTTTATTTGTTTTGCAAAAATATACAGAAAAACGAACGGTCGTAAAAAAATTATAGTATGCAACACGTGTGGTAAATTTTTTAAGTCACTCGTTTATTAAACACTTGCTCCGCTCGTCTCAAATAAACTTGCGACTCAAATGCCGTTTACCACACCTCATGAATAATATACTATTTTTTCTTGAATTTTAGTTAATTAATGTGCAAAATTGTCAGCTTGCTTTGACTAATAACTATATTACAAAAGTTAAGTTTTTGCCAGCTTGACTTGAAACATGGATAAGAATGAACCATTGGAGTGTGACTACTAATACACGTGCAAAAAAAAACAAGAAATAGAGGAATAGGTATTAAAAAATGGAATATGGAGTCCCACAGACTTTTGACTGGAATTTATAGAAATAAAAATTGTTGTTGTATCTTAAAGCAACTGGAAAAGAACATCAAAATGGACAGCTGAAAATCGCTATTCTGATATACAATGACGATGGCTTTTCCATTCTTTTGTGGGGATAAACGAGACACTTCAAAAAAGTTATTGAAAAGTTTTGATGATCACCTCCTACTATAGAAGGCCAAACAATCGAGCACTACTTGACAGAATTAAAAATGCATGCGACGTTATGTAATTTCATTTGTCAAAATAACCAATGCAATCAGAGTTACAAAGAGCTCATATGATAGAGAAATACAAGAACGAATTGTATGGTCTGTTCATAGCTATAAGAAATTGACCAATTGCTTTTGAATGGGATTATCCAAGAGTGGTCATTAACATACAATGCAACAAGATTATTACCTAAAGTTTCGGAATTTAAATTCAGGTAAAATTGTGGTCCGTAATAGAAAATAATTTTATACCTACCTGTGTTTAATATTCTTTGGTTTGGTATACTACTTAGTTTAAGTTTATTGCTAATAAATCATCCTTATTTCGTGTGTAATACAGCGTGTTTTGAATCGCGTGCGAATTATGCATAATAAGGTGCGAGTGTTGTGTATCTCAGGAGATGCTCCCGCCCAAATGTAGAAAATGCTATTCTATTGAGACTAAGGAAGTTATAAACAATCTTTATTTGACTCTCATTGAACGTGGTGGAAAATTCCAACATCAACTGTATGGAAAATTGTGAATAATCCCATTTCAGCGAGGAAAAAAAGAAGCGATGCTGACTTTTTCTCGAGTGTAGACGAAAGTAATCAAGATCGGTATTAAATATGGCAGAACTATCTTATGGAAGTGTATTCAACACATGGGTTTTACATTAAAAAAAAATGACAAAAGGCAAGTTTTAATGGAATCTTTTAGAATTCGGAAATGGCGACTGGAATATCTAGAGAAAATTAGAATTTACAGAGAACAAAAAAGTCCAATTATTTACTTGGATGAAACTTGGTTCGACACTTATGATACCCCGGAAAAGGGTGGAGTTGACTCAACTGATAAGTGTAAGTGTAAACGCGCCATCAAAAAGAGGTAAAAGAATAGCTATTTTGCATGCTGGCTCTAAAGATGGTTGGATTCCAAATGGACTTTCTCTGTCTGCAAAAAATATTAAAGATTCTTCTCTGGATTACCATGAAGGCACCACCGCTGATTTATTGGAAAGTTGGTTTAAAAACAAACTAGTTCCAAACATTCTTCCTAACAGTGTCATTGTAATGGACAATGCAAGTTATCACAGTAGACAGTTGCAATTAATTGAGGTTCTACAAAGCTTGAATCTACAAAAGGAATAATTCTGTGATAATTATGCAAAAAATCTAGGGCATACAGTTTTTGAGGCTTCCACCTTACCCCTGTATATTTAATACCATTGAACATATTTAGCGCCAACTGAAATCTTCCATTCATCGCAACAATGTTTTTCCCCGTGTTAACTCCAATGTCCTCAAACTTATAGAAACCGAAGTTTTTAACATCCCTCGACAAAGTTGGGCAAATTCTGTTAAACATATAAAAAAGCAGAACAATCGTATATCCATATTGCAAATAATATAAAACAAATAATAATTAGAACAGGCGATGATAGCGATAGTGATACTGATATATTATGTGAATAATTTTAAGTATTTTAAGTAGGTAATAAAAATAATAATTTAAACATAAATGCATACATAAATAAATAAATATTGTTTAGTATCTTTCCTAACAAAACCCCAAATAATTAAATTCTAAGCAAAGTACGGACCTGTTCGGCCATATTTCATTCTTACAGCTTGCGCGGGTCTTTCCTTAATTCGTATAAGTTAGTCACTTTTTTATATCTATGAACAAACTTTACGCGAAACATATTTAACAGTTGAAAAGGTCGAGGATGCAGAAATACATAGAATCAGTATCAAAAAAATCAAGTGTCGTCGTTGTTTATTTGAACATATTCCAAACAAGAGACGAGGACATTTTGTCAAGATTTCTTTCCACAACCACAAGAATAACTCAAGTGAAAATGAAAAGCAGACACGAACACCTCCACAAGATCAAGATAAAATTGAAAATTAAGTTAAAGAATGAAAACTCGCGTAGAGACTACAGAAATGTCAAGTATGTCGGTAGTGAAACAAACCTACGAAAAGACTCCTCTCCTTCCAGAGGTATTGAACAACTTTATATCAATGACAGTTACGACGTTTCTAAACAACTGACAATTCTGAAAATTATTAGTGTATGAAGACAATTCAGAAAATAATATCTATGTATTTGTATCTTTCTACCATGATTATTGTGCTAATGGATGATGTTAATAATGTCGTAAAAGTAAAGTTGTTGTCGGATTGAGAAATAAATAAGAATAGAACACTAAGATGATGTGAATTTCATTACTGCGTATTTTCAAATTATTTCGATTTCTGTTGGATTGAACATGTTGGAGTTTTGCTTTTTTGTATAATCCTTATTAAAAACGAATAAATATAGAAGTTTGGCAACATCGCGCATTTGACGACCACAGTTTAAATTTCTCCTTCTGCTAAATACGTAACCTGCAGGATTACCGTCGTTGTTTCTATGAAATACTTGGTTAATTATATGCGTTGTTTTTTTTTTTCAGACGCTGACACGCGAAAATGGATCCGATCGGGTGAGCCGAATAACAAGTGGCGAATCACTTTATCTCACGCCGGCCCGGGTAAAAAATTTAACTTTTCTTTTTTTTTTCAGGGCCAGCTGCTTCAGCCTTCAGTAAGTTTTTCCAAGCGGCGACGCCGCCATAATATATTCATGGAAATACGAGTCCTCATTTGCATTTCCGCGAGATTCGAATTCAATTTTCCGCGAGGAAAGCTCAACGATGTGAAATATTCCACTCGTTATGATCGGCATGGCGGAGCGACTAAAATAAGTGTAAAACGTAAAACTTTTTTTATCAACTGCGTTTTAAGGGACACGCACGTTTTGCGATTTTCCTACAAGTGATATTCTTAACCGCGTCTTCTCTCATCGACACTACATCACAAGACCACGCAATGTCATCATATTAAAGGAGCGATATATCTGGTAGCATGGCGTTCACAATATCAAATATACGTGAAAGAGGATAAAAATATACGGTTTATTTTTGATATCCTCACTTTAGATGACTATAAAAAAAATTCTGAGTATTGTATTATGGTGGAGGGTAAAAATGCGCAACGCTAATAACAACGCAATTATTTTTAGATGCCCCAAAGCCTATTTAATAAATATGTGGAGGCAGAATGCGAATCCCTTTATTCTAAAAGATAACATTGAGAGATTACATATTTTACAAAGGTTGCATCAGTTCGTGCCAGTCTTGGGCTGCTAGAAAAATAAAAACAAATGATGATTCTGGGCTAGGGTATGATCAAATTTTCAGATATTCTAAGAAAATTATAGGCTGACTTCTAGTCGTAACTTTTAATAGATAATTAGCTCTTTTAGTAACGATATGGTCTGCTTTTCTTTATTCTAGTCACCTCAGTAATTATTTTTTAAGCAAATTTATATCATTTATTTTGATTGCAAATTTTATGCCCATCTTATCGCAATTTTAAAAACTATATGTTTTCCAAGGGCATCCTCAAAAATAATACTATATATTTTGTTCTATATCTGGAGACTTTCGGCTTTCTTTTCGCTTGATGTATTTGAATCCTAATTTCTGTCATAATAAAAACAACTCTTGATCAAACGGAGAGTTTTTAACTACATTTTTAATATACTCCACTCATAGCAGTTCTGCGGTTACGTCACTTTTAGTATGTTTACTAAAATGCTACCATTTTTTGATGCGTTCCGACCGACAAAATAACACTCATCAAATATATCTGAGATATGTTTATATTTTAAATATTCTCAATGATTCAACAACGAAAAGCCATAACGCAAGCAACAGCAAAGAAGGGGAATAAAAACTAGTCATAATCGAAAAAAATATCTTCCTCCGAGTCTGATTCATACATATCGATAACAACTGCGAAAATTTAGAATATCCCTTTTTTGCAGCCACTCGATCCAATCCATCCATCTGATCCAATTGTTCATTGTCCATTATTATTAAGATTGGACAACAGCTTTTGACGGAACCACATTTTAAAGTAAAAACATACATAAGTTAGTGTTTTCCCAGAGCATGTTAATATTAATAATAAAAGTTTCCGTGGGTTCAAAACTGAAACTTTTATCTCTGTTCATACATTAGAAAAAATCGACTTTTCCCATAAAAGAGAAATATAAATCACCTTTCAAAATTTTCAGTGTTCATTGAATCATGGTAGTCCTCCAATTTGCAGCCCGATTTAAAAACAAGCCTGGAATACTTGACAAAACTATTTTTAGAGCCAGCATGTAAAATTACATAGCAAACTCCTTCACCATATTTTTTCCGGACTGTTTGTAAGTCAGCTTTTTCTAGATGTCCCTTTACTAAAAATCAAAATCTAGTCCAAAAATACTAGATTAAATGAAAAGGCATCATTCTGGTTTTATGAGCAATGTATGGCTGTTCTATCAAATATGTCCCTCTTGAAAACAAATATTTAACGTGTTCAATGCATCAATTAGTGAAACATGTGAATATCAATCAATACCTTCGATTTCCTGTAAATTTTTGCGTAGCGATTCTACTGTGACATGGGAAGAAAGTAATTATCATAAAGTTATATAGATTTTCGACTTTCGAAATTATATTATTCATTTGGAAAAAGGAAAAGTTTCAATTTTTTTTTATACCGTCTGCGTACCTGGTGTTCCATGTGCTGCGTTATGATTGCTCTGAACTTTAACTATATGTTCATGATCGGTTTTGATGTCTCCAGAAACAAGCTTGACTTAGAGAAGTATCAAATGCATGGACAACACAATAAGGACCGGCCTAAGTATTCATTTTCAGAAACATAAAATGCTCGTTCATAAAAATGAGATGGATTGAAGTGTGGAGACAGTAAATACTTGCATTGTGTACACCGTTTAAGGGTAAAAGCGGTCCCCCCCCATTTCTCGAGTAAAATAATCCACAAGTTTTCAAATAAGAACTGCAAAAATGTTTGATCTTGACTAGGCTTTTGACATGGATTTCGCAACTGACAAACAGAATTCCTGTATCAATTTATGACATCCTGCTCCTGAACTAGATAAAGATGTCATGCTGTGACGTAATTCAGCAATTGCTCTGGCTGAACTTCTATTGATTCCACAATTCAGGTTGTCATTCCTTTAGTTTCATGGGCCGAAACCGAAGCCCACACAAGGTTTTTTAGTTATTAAATCAACAATCTCCAATTTAAATAATTTGCTATTATCTCCTGTTATAATATAAAAAGACACTCAAAAATATGTAATACAAATATTTTTGCCTCACACACTAGTTCTGAGACTTTCAATGACGTGTAAATTATTCACATATTTTCGTGAATACTTTAAATTTGTCACTTTTTCATTATGAAATACCCATTATTGTGCATATTTTTCCAAATATTAAATGAATAACCGAAAACGTATAACTAGACATAAAGTGGTAGGCATATATTTCTCCCTTTTCGTGGTGACTCTGCCTTATTGCATCACTTTTCCGAGGAAGCGGATCGTCCATAACTTTATACATTGAAACGAGAATACCGAGTATTTATTTCGATTCTTCGGTTTAACTTCTTATCGCCAGGGATTTTTTTCCCGTTATTGAGTTATTTATATGAAAGTCAAAACGCATGAGGGATAGGCGTCTACATTTTTTCTTTTCTCGTTTGTTTTGAAATATGCGATTTAATTTGCTTTACGCAGCATCAATTCGGTTTGCGTCGCGGTCGGTGCTCGTGTCCAAATGCTGCTGAATTGGTACAACGCGAATAGAAGGTTCAGGATACTGAAAGCAGTCCAAATAAGGTGAAGTCGTAATAAATTTGTTCTGCTTCTTAACCCTTTAACAGCGGATTTGTTATTAGAAATAAGTTATGACTGGCTATAATTTTTATTTATTAATTAGGTAAGAAAACACTTTATCTAATGGCCATTTTTCCTTTTTTTCCAATAAAAAACTGCCGTTACCATATGGTAATGCTAGCCGCAAATGGTAGGCAAAAAAGTAAATATTTATTATGCAAAATATGCATTCTATGCATAAATAAACCTACGTTGCATTGGGAACACTTGGTTGAAACCAAAAAAACTATTTTATATTTCTGAAGATAGTGCAAAACGATTTGTCTTCTATAGCCAAGCTAACTTGGCTACAGAACACAAATGACTGGCAGTTTGGTCTTATATTTACGCCTGGCCGGCCAGGCGTAAATATAAATAATACTGTTACCATACTAGTGTCGACTAACCACGTAAAAAGAGGCCATCGACCCTTTTGTTTCTCCCGAAACCTGTTTAATTCTGTTATAAGTGATGGACGCTATACCTGTACAATTCTTTTTTCGTTTCTGGAAACCAAAAAAACTATTTTATATTTCTGAAGATAATGAAAAACGATTTGTCTTCTGTAGCCAAGCTGACTTGGCTACAGAACACGAATGACTGGTAGTTTGCTCTTATATTTACGCCTGGCAGACCAGGGGTTTACCATACTAGTGTCGAGTAACCACGTAAAAAGAGGCCATCGTCCCTTTTGTTTCTCCCGAAAAATGTTTAATTCTGTTATAAGTGATGGACACTATACCTGTACAATTCTTTTTTCCTTTCTGGAAACCAAAAAAACTATTTTATATTTCTGAAGATAATGAAAAACGATTTGTCTTCTGTAGCCAAGCTGATTTGGCTACAGAACACGAATGACTGGTAGTTTGCTCTTATATTTACGCCTGGCAGACTAGGGGTTTACCATACTAGTGTCGAGTAACCACGTAAAAAGAGGCCATCGTCCCTTTTGTTTCTCCCGAAACCTGTTTAATTCTGTTATAAGTGATGGACACTATACCTGTACAATTCTTTTTTCCTTTCTGGAAACCAAAAAAACTATTTTATATTTCTGAAGATAATGAAAAACGATTTGTCTTCTGTAGCCAAGCTGATTTGGCTACAGAACACGAATGACTGGTAGTTTGCTCTTATATTTACGCCTGGCAGACCAGGGGTTTACCATACTAGTGTCGACTAACCACGTAAAAAGAGGCCATCGCCCCTTTTGTTTCTCCCGAAACCTGTTTAATTCTGTTATAAGTGATGGACGCTATACCTGTACAATTCTTTTTTCCTTTCTGGAAACCAAAAAAACTATTTTATATTTCTGAAGATAATGAAAAACGATTTGTCTCAAGTCAGCTTGGCTACAGAACACGAATGACTGGTAGTTTGCTCTTATAGTTACGCCTGGCAGACCAGGGGTTTACCATACTAGTGTCGACTAACCACCTAAAAAGAGGCCATCGCCCCTTTTGTTTCTCCCGAAACCTGTTTAATTCTGTTATAAGCGATTCTTTTTTCCTTCTGAGAAAACCTTTTTACTTGAAAGGTGGGGTTGACTCCTTGGCAGGTAAAGGCTACATTTACTGCTTTATTATCAAGCGATTTTACAACGATGATCCCACCTTCCTTATTTATAGCTGATATAAAACCAGTAAAAAGGTTATCAAAATAGAATTTTAGGGGAAGCTTGGACAAATCAGGTGAAGAATCAATGATATTGATAAGAGGCGCTGCACTTTTTCCAAATCCATTTTCATAGAATGGGTTTTTACCTTATAACCAAAACGGATAGGGTTCCCGCGTATAAATGGTTTGCG